TGATCGAGCAGACCATTCTGGGTATATATCCAAAGAGAAATCAACATCTCAAACAGATATCTGTACTCCCATGTTCATAGGAGCCTTATTCACAACAACCAAGGTATGAAGCAGATTAAGAGTACATCAATGGATGAATGGATCAAGAAAATTTGGTATATATATACACCATGGAATATCATTCACCCTTTTAAAAGAAAGAAATCCTGGGCCAGCCCAGCAGCATAGTGGTCAAGTTCGCATGCTGTACTTGGAGCCCGGGGTTCCAGGTTCAGATCCCAGGCACAGACCTAGCACCACGTGTCAAGCCATGCTGTGGCTGCATCCCACATAAAGTAGAAGAAGACTGGCACAGATATTAACTCAGCAACAATCTTCTCAAGCAAAAAGAGAGAGATTGGCAACAGATGTTAGCTCTGGGCCAATCTTCCTCACAAAAAAAAGAAAGAAATCCTGTCATTTGTGATAACATGGATGAACCTGGAAGGCATTAGATAATTAAGCAGACAGAGACAAATAGGACATGGTACCACTTATATGTGGAATCTAAAAAAAAGTTAAAATCATAGAAACAGAGAACAGACAAGTGGTTGCTGGGGGTCAGGTAAATAGGGAGAGGTTGGTAAAAGCATACAAACTTTAAGTTATAAGATGAATAAGTTCTGAGGATAACATGGTAACCATACCATTTGTTAATACAAAATAACATTGTATTGTATAATTGAAATCTGTTAAGAGAGTAGAACTTAAATGTTCTCACCAAAAAAGAGAAATATCTGAGGTGATGGATGTGTTAATTAACTTTCACAATGTATGCATATATCAAACCATCACATGGTATACTTTAAATATCTTACAATTTTATTTGTCATTATACCTCAATAAAGGTAGAAAAAAATAAGATAGAAAAGACGGGAGAACAAATGAATATATCCCCAAATAATGGGGTAAACTAGATGGAATTTTATATCTGAGAAAAAGAAAAACGTGCAGATAATTAAAATAGCTTGCTATATATAAAATGTGAATCCTCAGAAGTCATTTGCTACTTTGACTACTGCAATATTAAGTATGTAGCTAGCTACCATAATTATACTTAAAGAGTCTCCTTGATTTTATGCAAATGTTCTCCTATATTTCTTACTACATTGGTAATAGCAATAAAACACAGCTCTGATTATCACTTAGGGACGTGACTTCCATTGCCTGCCCCAACTTAGATTTCAACTTTGTTTTCCATTCCTGCGTTTCATGTATTCCAACACCCGACCAAATGAAAATATAGTTTTTCTTCTCCATATATGGAGACTCCTCCCACCATATTTTGTACTAAAACTTTCAATACCTTCAAGACCCCATTCAAACATCAGTTTCTTCATGAAATTTATATGCACTTTATAAAAAACAATTTTAAGAGTTTCTCTAATTTTTGTCCTGAAATTTAAATTACCAGAGATTTAGGGTGGGGAGGTGGGAATGAAGCTCATCTCTTTAACAGTAATTACTATGTTATTCTAGAAAATGGATTTTTAAAGAAATATATTGCAACCATCTCTTTCAGTAAAAGTTTAAGTGAACAATATTAGTTGCCATTATAGCTACATACTGAAAATAAAATCAAAAGGCCATAACTTCTTCATAGAACACTCCACAAGTTATCAATTGTGGGAAGCAGGGATATAGATTACACTACCTTATTCTTCATTAAGATAGAAAGAATAAAGTAAAATAGGAAAGTGTAAAGAGGTTAAGAAAGGGAAAGAAGAGAAGAGAAGGGAGGGAAGGGGAGAAGGAAAGAAGAGAGAGAGAAAGGAAGAAATAAAACCATACTGACTACAAAAATATAACAGGGCATTCTGCCCCTTGCCATTCTTTCTAGTAAGCAAAGATTTAAAGGAAAACGCTAAAGAAATACTTTCTTTAAAAAAAAAAAGACAGGCAGTAATGTGGTCAAGAAACATCAAGAACAACACGAACGTACATTTTACATGGAGTACGCAGGAGATGTTGAAACTACATTAGGGATTAAATACTATGGGTGTCACATATCTTAACTGTCAGCTAGTCTTGAATTTTCTTTTTTGTTTATTTTGTTTTGCTAAAACACATGGAGAGAACTTACACTGCTTTTCAAGATATTAATTTGAAATATCTCACAACTGGAAAGGACTTTTGAGCCACTTATCTCCTTTCACATTGCAGGTATTATTAGTGGATGTTGCAAAGTCTGCCTTTGTTTCTGACCATTAATGACTACAGAAAAATGGCTACATATACAGTTTCACTCACACAAAACCAGCAGCGACACCTTCAAGAGAAATAATCCTAAACATATATTGAAGATTAAGCATAAATGTCATTACCACCATCTGCAAAGCCAGTTGCAGTGATAATAGGTACAGCCACCATAATCAGTCCACTGCTGCTCCAAACATACTTCATCAAGAACTGCTCTATCATGATGTACCACAAACGTTTGGATAAAATGAGGTTCATCTGATCGGCTAAAGCTTTGTAACTTTTCTGGAGTTGCTTCATTTCCACCTATAGAGGGAAAAAGAGGCAAGAACCCAGCATGAGTTATAAAAGTAAATATTGTATGTCTGAAGGCTTTCTTTAAAGATAGGTACACATTATTTTGTTTTACTTAGTATAGTATGATCTATGATTCTAACAACTAAAAAATACAGATTAATATAAGAATGAGTCATTATTATTTAATTTGGTCACACCTATATTATTGAAAAAAACTCATGATACTTAGTAAATATACATGTCAGTGATTTATAATCTTTATTTCAAAATTACATGCATGAGGTTAAAATTAAACGATATTCTATAAGACATGAGTAAACAATGTTAGAACTTTATCCTTCTTGATCACACCAAAAATATTTGAAAATAAACACATGACACACATATGTGTAATTAGATTCCATTTTCGAACTAACTCAATTTGCTGGATTTTGTCTTAAATGCCGGAAGCCTACAGCATGCTATAATTTAAATCACTGAGTTCAATGATTCAAGAAGAATCACAAGTCAATATGACTAATACAACATATAAGGACAATTTTCAAGGGGGAGTAGAAGTCCTAAATTTGCTTTAAATTTTCTTCTTCAGATTCCTACTACTGTAAAAATTTGTCTTGATAACTAATGATGCTTCAAAAAGTAAATAATTCTGCTTGGGAATTAAAATACCATTTCAACTTAAGAATACCTGAATATTTCATTTGTACTAAGTCATTTGTATTAAGATTTCAGATGCATCACCTTAAAAAATTTGGTCGTATTTAATATTCTGAGGTTACTTCAATGCTCTGGAAGTTTATGTAATTAGGCTAACTATTTTAGGGATCTGCTTAATGTCGAAAATCTTTAGTATTTAGAAATAACGTTCTGAAATTCCTTTTCTCCTCATTTCTTCTCTAATCTTAGCTTTTCTCTCAAAGCCAGACAAAATTTCATTTCACTCCCTCTTTTTATTTGTGTCAAACATGGTGCTGAACATTAACTAAGAGTTGGAAATGCCATTTGTGAGACACACTCTCCTGCACTTCTTAGGACTGAGGACCCTCCATTGCTGACCAGACATGCAAAATTGTTAAACTTGTCTTTCATGTAAAAGGACAGGGTTTTTTTCCTCTTAAAAACAAAGGGCCCTCAATAATAACAACAAGAGAATACCATCCTAAATTTTCCATCTCAATGGACATGTGTTTACTCAGTTTCCAAACACATTTTCTTCTAATGTTCTACAACCAATTAGGATTTAAGTTTTAAGAAAATGCTTCAGAGATAATTCTGAGCATGTTTGGGTAACTGAGGCTAAGTAGACTGAGTGCTGAAAATTTTATTCTCATGAAACTTTAGAAAAGTTTGCACTCTATAATTCTTTAACAACTTGTGAGTAAAAAGGGTAAGGAAGCATACATTCTAGTACAGGTTTAGATGTCATCGGAGTCTAAAACGCTACAGAAGTGGGTCCATCAACAGTACAACAGATGGTATCTAGCACTGCAGTGGCAGCTCGAACAGTCTCACATTTCACCCATCATCTTAATTTCTATCTTACCTTATGTCCTCTGTAAAAGGCAATTTCTTCAACATTGGCTATAATTCTGGAGTGCACATACCGCAAATAGCCTTTTCTATGAGCTTCTTCAGCCACCAATTTACCAAATTTGGGAGAGCAGGCTTTCAACACTTTAGCAGTGGCATATACCACAAGCCCTGCTAATAGGGTGGGCCCAATTGGGCTAGCTCCTCTGGATGTAGCAGTCTGGATGAGCGTATAGGAGGTCAGGATTACATCTAAAATAGGTTTGGTCAGATTAGAATACAAGTGAGCCACAGATTGGGAGAACATCATAATATCCTCAGTAAGAGACTGGTCAGGGTTTGCCAGCCTCCCGTCCATATTGATCACCTTATAATAAGTCTGATTTGTAAAATAGGTTTCATAGGCATGGCCTACTAGGCGAGTTCTGAAGGCCAAAGCCAATTTGCACTCCAGGTACCTTATTGCACTGTTCACAAAGGTAGCAGGGATGGCAATCATAAGCCACTTGATTAATTTGATGATGAAAGTCCGAGGCTTCTTTTCCACAATGCTTTTCACGATTTTTCCATCCAGACCAGCCACATAGATAGACAGAAATGTTCTCGAGATTAGAGCCACCGAGTGGAGGCAGAGCCACCCTGTTTCAGTGGTCACAAGTTTTGGAAAGAGAATTTTCCGAAGTTCTAGTAGCTGTTTGAAAAAATCTGCATTCACTCCAGGCGAAGAATTTTTACAAGTGGTCTCGGTGCAATGCAGTATTTCTCTGTTCTCTGCAGTCGGGTAAGCTGCTTCTTTTCTCTTCCTGTGGCCAGATTGCTTTAAACGCCTGCTAATGATGGGATAGAGGGTTTTCAGAGCATATGCCGCAGCCACCAGGCAGGCAGCCCTTTTAGCAGCGCTAGATCTGGTCCATTTCATTAGATCAGCTGCTGCATTTAGCATATGTGTCATTTTCCCAATTACCCAAACCGGCTTCAAAAAGAATTGGTTTTAAAAGATCATGATCCACCAGAATCCCCAGCAAATGTTTCAGAAAGTCCTACAGGGTTCCATAGTCCGCAGCATTTCTTCTCTTCTTTTCTTAAATTTTGCTTTTGTTTTTTTCAATTTTGTTCTGCTGTGACAGGTGCAGCGGAGCTCAGACTCCACTGCACCTACTGAGGATGATTCCCTCAGAAGCTCAAGCTGCACTAAGCCGCCCCAAGCTCCTCCCTCACAGGCCCCTCATTGGCTGTGAGGATGGTGGGACCTTGGAATCCTCGCCGCTTCCCTTTGAACCTTGAAAATGAGGAGAAAGCAAAGCGAATTACATCCTTAGGCAGGAGTCCAAAGAGTTAAATGTCTATTTTGGGAAAGGTCGAATCAGGGCAGCCGCGGGCGACAAAACCTGCCCCAGCTACTGAGCATGCTCAGCGTCACTTAGAAACGCACAGAAGTTTCAGAATATACATCACTCCTCTAAGGTTTTAGTAGATACCACAAGGGGAAGAGCAGAAAGAAAAGGAAATTTCCAAGCGCTATAAAACGAGATGAGGCAGAAGGAGCTAGGGAGATGAGGGAGGAGGGGCAAGAGGACCAACATGAAATGAATGTGAAAAGGATATGGAATGAATGTGAAAGGGTATGGACTGAATCTGAAAGGGAGAGAGAGGAAAGAGACAAGCGGGAGGGACACTGGAGAAAGCAAACTATCAAATACTTAGATCTGTTTTTCAGTCCCATTTTATTTTATTTTTTCTGCCTGTGTTTCTCATGAAGTCCCAGAATCTATCAGACAAGTCGTAATTGAGGGCATATTTTGTAAATAAATAGGAGAGAAGTCTTCTGCATTATAGAAAATAGTTCTTTGCTATATCTCCATCTCTATGTTTACTTGTCCTTACAATAAAAATCTTCCAGCCCCACAACTGCTATTTTTAGCAATGGAGATCTGATGCACTGGTATTTATTTACAAGGTGACTATTGAATAAAAAAGGGCAGTGTTTCACTTCTACCACCCTCTTGTGTCCTTTAGATAGTTGTTACTTGGAGGTGTGTGACTTTATAACCTAAAGTTAACCATTTGGGAATCCAACTGGAGTTAGATGGTGGAAATAGCTTCTCTGGGACCTTACTTCATTTTTTGAGAATTCTTTGTCTTTTGCAAACTTTTGTTTTGCTTGTTTTGTTTAGGCTTAGAGATAATCTGTTGGCTACTTCCCACTTTGGTTATTTGATTCAAACAAAGAGTGTTAAAAAAATTTTCCCTACATCCCTAATGGAGGACTTAAACTGCTAAACAGTCAAGCAAAATTCTGCATACTTTTAAATATGTAAAATGTTTAGGTAAGGATGAGTGTGTTTTCGAATATGCAAAAGCATTTTTGCTTCCCCACACCCACCACCCCCCACAACATACATACACATTTCTAGTCAACTGGAAGCCTGGGAAGATATGCATTAAATTAGAACAGAGGTTGGCAAATTATAACCCAACCAGTGGGCCAAATTTGGCCTGCCACCTGTTTTTTTATGGCCCTTGAGATAAGAACAGTTTTTACATTTTAAAATGGTTGAAAACACATCACAAGAATAATAATATTTTGTGGTGCATGAAAATTACATGAAATTTTTATTTCAGTGTCCATAAATAAAGTTTTATTGGAACACAGCCACACCCATTTATTTATTTACTTATTTTCTATGGCTTTCAAGCCACAGAGCCAGAGCTGGATAGATGAAACAGAGCCTAAAATATTCACTATCTGGCCCTCTTCAGAAGAAGTTTGCCAACCCTTGTGCTAGAATATAAAACCTGTCTCAGTGTTGAATGATCTTCATTATTCAGTTTACTGTGGATAAAGAACTATTCTCCTTTTCATAACTAACGATAGCCTTAAACTTTTAAAACTCCTTTCCCATGTACCTATATGAATTCCAAGAATCCTCACAGGTCTCTTTTCATTTGTTTGCATTCAATTCAGCAGATTGACTAATACATGAGTGGCAAATTCATGCAAATTTCTTTTATAGCTGGCCATATTAGCAGCACAATCTATCATTCATTCCATTGAGACTTTCTAAGTCTGTATGTAGAGATCATAGTGTTATAATGGTTATTTTCAAAATCTTTTATTCCTAATCTCATGTTTTTCATGTGTCAAAGTAAGGATCTCTTACCCTTATAAACTTTAATTCTTTATGTCACATCTCCTGACTGTGATAAGACAGGTGGAGGGCCAGGGTAAACTTAGCTGGGGGTGATAGGAGGATGTTCAGCCAGGCAGAACACGTACACAGAGGGTTGCACCGGTCAGCAAGCAGCTGGCAGTCGAGGCAAGTGGCCTGCATCACTGGCATACGACAGCCATATCAGGGGAGGAGCAGGGCAGTGGGAAATCTAGAAGCAAAGAAGGTTAGAGATCGAATCAGGCCTGCACTTAATTGTAGGTAGGTCAGTTTATCAACTGATAATGAAGCTAGGGTATAGGAACAAGCTTTTATTGGCTTGAGTGAAAGACTTGTTAGAATGAGGAAAATAATCAAGATAGAAAGACAGAAATTTGGTTACCGGAATTGTGGTGCAGGGAAGGTTGGAGGCCAGTTACTAGAACTGGGGAAAAGGTTAATGTGAGATTTGACCTAATGATGAGCCACTTAAGTACAGATGTAACTATCACCATTTTAATTCCACTCCCACCCTTCACTCTACCCTACCCCCAAGAGTCCGGGTTGGTCCTAGCATCTGAGACCAAGCTCAAGACTTCAGGGAAGGCAGAGGAAGAATTCAAGATGATAGGAAAACAGATACATAATTCCAGTTGGAAATATATGCCATTTAAGTAAGAAACTAAGAATGTCAAGGTACTTCTTTCATTTTTTATATTGCCATGCAATTAAAGCAGAAAGAATGCTAATTTAGTTTGAATTTCAAACTAGGTGAGAAAAAAAGAGTGAAAAAAAGTCACTTGTTACTATAGTAAACATAATTAAGCCTAATTTCCACTCAATCTTCTCAACTTTACATGTGTTTATAGCGGAAAGCATTAAAATTTTTCTTAAGAGAGGAGAAATAATCTTAAAAAAAGATCTTGAAAATGAATGAAAGTTAAAAAATAAGCAATAATTATCAAATTACTCTGTTCTCAACCGTGATACTCTCAATGTCAGTGTCACAGTGGACATTACCAACAACCATGGAAGAGCAGGATTAAAGACTTTATATATATATTAGAGACTATATATATACACATATATTAGGAAAACTACATGCTTTATAAACAGTAAAACATCAGAAATAAATTTTTATAATAAAGAGACCTACATATATAAGTATATGAATAAAAATGTATAACGTAGATAATATGTGTTATGTGTTTATATAGTAAATCACCAGAGAGTAAATAATTTTTAGCAATAAAGATAAATTAAGGGTTAAGATTTGGGATGCATTTCCTTCTCAGCAAATGCTAAGTAGTATTTTATCTGTGCTGTATTCCTTTCTTGAACTGTTTCCTGACCCAAGAGATTACCTAATTGCCCTACTGGCCCTAAAATAGCACAGCATTTGACTCATTATCTACCAGTCATGCTAGCCTTATTCATGTGAGCCACAAACACAATGAAGATGAGATCTTAGGTCAATATTTCATCTGTTACAAATAACCACCTAATAACTGGTTCATAATGAAATGTCTTTTGCTGTGAAGGAAAACCCAGCAAATATCTTGTCTGAGGATGTATCTCATAGATTAATCTTTCCTTAGCCTAATTTACCACTTCCACTGCCTCTCTGTGACTGGAAGGAAAGCAGTGACTCTAGTCAGAGAGAAGACATGGTTCTATCCAGCTCCCACTTCTTGACTCTTCTCAACAGATTGGTCAACCTGTCCTTTATGTCTCTACCTATAGAATATATTTTAAAAGGTCAGTCAATCCTCTATAAACTTATTTTCCCCTTCTAGTTAATTTAGTTAATTTGTACCTGTTTCAAAATGTTGAAAGTAGGAAAGGCTAACGCACTGGGCCATTGCTTCTGACTCGACTGTATGGTTTAGTTACTGAAAAACGATGAGCTACTCCATGACGAAGACTAATTTGTTCTGAAATGCTATACTCACTTGGTTTAATTCAAACCAATGATAGATATACTTTGGTGAATTTTTGTGACAAAAATCAGTATTTATATGGTTAAACGACATCTACCAGGGCACATAATCCTATTTTAGGCAACTATATTTTAGGCACTATTTCCCAATGAGTTAACAGAAAATGTATCATATTTGAAAATGAGAGATTGCCCAGGTTAAAAATCTGGAAAACAATCATGACAATTGGAAAAAAACACCATTTTGTGCATTTGTTTGGTACAGGAGATTTCTAGTTTCTAACAAAAATATCATAGAACAGTGTGTAAGATAAACATTTTGTGAGGATATACACACATAACACAGAAACGATCAGTAAAATCCAACTTTCGTTTTGAGATATTTTTCGGTAAAGTGTTTAAAGTCTTTGGGTCTTTACAGCTAAACCCAGTTTTGATCAAGCTTTCTAAGAAACCCACAAAATGGTAAGTTACTACAGCGCAATATTTCTAATAAACAACTGTGTACTGAATATTGAAACTGCACGTGAAAGATATTTAAAGGATTTGGATATGGAGTGATGTGGGATTGGAAACATCATCTTGAGGATTACGGATCCATATCTTTGTTCTTGCCTTCTTTTTCTCCCCTCAATCTGTTCTTTGACCTAAAAAAAAAAAGGCTGAGACCTACACCAAAGTAAATAAAACTATGGTGGGGGTGGTTTGAAACACTAACCCTGTGGCCACAGCCCGACACTTCATTTCTTGAGGGTTCCTTCGCCCGACCGGTTGAAAGTGCTGTGTTCTTCCTCCTTCCGGCGCGCTGCTTTCCCACAGCGTCCCCTGCGGCCCTATCAGGACAGCGTCTCCGCAGAAACCGCAGAGGCTGCCGGGAGACCCGGAAGGAGCCTAACCAGGCCGCAAAGGCTGTAGGGAGGCTGGGCTCTAGGCCCGTGGGCCGGAGAGGAGCGGGCTGAAACCGAGGAAGCTGTGGCTTAGCACTGAACGGAGCCGTCTGAAGTGCAGCTGTCAGAACCCCAGTGTCTTCTCAGAAGTTTTGGGGAGATGAACTGGGTCGGGGGCTCCCGGTGAGTCGTGCTGCTGGAGCTTGAGACTGTAGCCTTGCGTCCCTGGACGTGCATTCCCATCATGGCGCCTCTTTCCTAGGCCTCGGAGGGGAGGGCACAGCCTTGCCTGGGGGCAACTTGCTAGGAGAGATCTTTTAATCTTCCCCAAGCCGGGGGACCCTAGCACCATGTCTCTGCTCTTAAACCGAAAGCAGCTCAGCTTTTCCCCCACTGTCTTTCCAAAAGCTTCACATGTGGGGCCCGCCGTGGGTGAGGTTCTCTGCTCTCCCTCCCCCGCCTCCCGGGTCCTCCTCCTCTAATGAGACCTCTGAGCAGCTGAGCCCTCTTCTCGCCCCTGCTTCTCCCATTTCGAAGGGATTTCTTTGCGTCAATATATCATCTTTGCACAAATTTGTAAGGCGTTATGGAAGAGGCCATTCCCTGCTGCCCTTAAATCCATTGATGTGGGCTCGTATCCGCCATAAATCCAATTTAGTTTGTTTTTGCAAGGGAGGGAGAGTGAAGCATTTTTTACTTTAACTTATAAGAGAATTTACAATTTGTTTTGTATTTAGAATTAATCACATAAAGGAGGATGAGTTGACAGTTTAGCTTTATGTGACCTGTTCATTGCTGTTGACCTTGAAGTCCACTAGGATGGAAATCATGTGGGCCTGTAATTTCGTTTGATCAAATTCCCTGACGAAAAGAATTGTTTTGATTGAAACATTAAGCCATTAAATACAATTTTTGTCACAAGTAGACCCAGGACAGTGATGATATAGTTAGAATATAACACATTTAAATTCTTAGGAATTTTATAAGAGGAAAGACAGCTTTTGTGTTCAAGTATTGTAACTATGTCTGATAATTTTAGCAATAGCATTTATCCTGTTGAAGATATGTTAGCATCGTATTTTAGAAATTTATCTGATTCATTCCTAGCTAATGTTCTAGCATCACACTTCCACTTTGGAGAAAAGTGAAAACTCACTTACAAACGTCACACAATTTAGTTGATACATGATTATAATTTGATGTTTTTGAATTCTTTAAAATGTGAATATTAAATGAGATACAAAATCATCTTACAAATGCTTAAGCAGTATTAAAATATAGGTGCTATTATTATTCTGTCATATATCTTCTGGTTATTCAGGGAGTAGTATTTTGGTTGCTAGTGGGAGGATGCAAAAGCAATGTACTGCAGGAAACGTGTAGTCTAGGATTGTGTTTCTCAAAATGAGGTAGTGCTGCACCTGGAGATATTAGGTACCAGGGGGTTAAGAAACCACGGAAGAAACGTGACACATCTCCCTGGAGCATCAGTTTTATTCACAGATCGGAGGAAAATATATTTTTTAATTTAAGTAAACATGGATATGTTATAGAGTAAAAGGGAAAACTTGTGTGAAATTGTAAGAGAAAATATGGAATTTTAAATAAATTTTCTTGGGGAGGTTGGGCTCGTCAGGGTCAAACTCCAGATTGGTAATGAAAAAATGAGTGTCTCCACTTTGTACTGTCCCAGCAAACGAAGGTAGACAAGATTAGTTGATCATGGCTCTCTGACCATCAGGCCGTAAGAGCCTCAGAATCTGAGACAGTGCTTAGTAATCACTAGCAGTTGATTGGAGCTGCTATAGAGTAGAAGTTTTAATCCTTGTCTCAGACCATCCTTGAGTACTTGTTTATTTCCCTCTGTTGTAGGATTAGTTTTTGTTTGAAAATTTTGAGAACTGTTAGGAACTTAAAATATAGACGAGTAACAAGAGAACATTTACAAAGCTCTCTCAGAACTGCTCCATCAGAGAATTCAGCATTAATTAATTCAACAAATACGTTTTTACTTGCCTCCCTGTTTAGGGCATTGTCAAGCTGTATAGTGGGATTCAAAAAAGAAAAAGATAAATCTTTGGACCACAAAAAGAATTTATGGTAGAATGGTGAGATTTGAATTAGGTGAATGATTTTAAGACTAGGTAGTTAAATGGCGCTTAATATATAACAAGTGTTGTTCTAAGAACTTTTTGTATATTAGCTCATTTGCTCTTAAGAAGAACCCTATGAGGTATGTACAAATGTTATCCTCATTTTACTGATAGGGAAACTGAGGCACTGTTAATGTTAAGTGGCTTGCCAAGGTCACCCAGCTAATCAATGACAGTTATTTGAGAACCATATGCTTAATGGCTATGCTATGCTATGCAACGTAGAAATACGAGTATTGTGAAAGTGGCACATGTAAAGGGCTGTGGATATTTAGAGAACAGAGAAATTACCTTAAACCTTGAAGGATAACAGTGTTGCACAGAACAAGCGCCACAGAGAAACAATGAAACACAGGTTCTTGAAAGCTGAAAAGGAAGTGAGATAAATAATTATCAAATTGGAGACCTAGTTTTTACCAAGGCTTCTTAAAAGAGATGGGTTGGGAGAGCGGTATTAAAGAAACTGAAAGGATTATTTGGCAGACAGTAGATAGGTCTACATTAAGACAGGAAAACACTTGCAAAGAGGCTTTGTACCTTTTTTCCAAGGAAATGAATGAAGCAGGCTATAGCAAGTTTATATTTTGGTTGTAGCAACCTGATTGTATACACTAAATCAAACCAGGGTATTCTTGTTGTGTATTATAGGGACCTGATATACAGTTTAATTGCAGAATCATTTGATAGGAGTGTCTTTACAATTGCAAAGGTCTTTGCAAGTTTTCTTGGCATAAAAGAAACTTGGCATTTAACTTTTTGCTGCTCTTCTGTTTGGGGAGTCTACCAGTCATATGTAAGATTTTTTTTTGTGAGGGAAGGGACTGGTGGCTAGGGAAGAAATAAGCTTTCCTTATTTTGCTTTTTAAATTACTTGGTTTGGCTTTAGTGTTATGGTTTGTGGACATCTTTGAAGATATAACATTTCATTTCAAACAAAGTCTCATTTAGGGTAAAGAGATTTGGTCTAAGCTGAAACTAATTGACATATCTATGATAGCAGTTCCCAGTCTACTGTCCCTGAAACTTGCTAATCAGCCATAATGTCAGGTTTTTCAATTTAATGGGTTCTTTCTTTTTTTCCTAAAATTATATTCTTTTTTTGACTTAAAATGCCCCTCCCATTTTAAGTCTTTTCTTTTTTTTCCCCCCTGCTTTTTCTTCCCAAATCCCCCCAGTACATATTTTAGTTGTGGCATGTGGGGCGCCACCTCAGTGTGGCCTGATGAGTGGTGCCATGTCCACGCCCGGGATCTGAACCAGCGAAACGCTGGGCCGCCTAAGCAGAGAGTGCGAACTTAACCACTCGGTCACGGGGCTGGTCCCAAGTCCTTTCTTGACAAAATTAAAAATATGAATCATTTGTCAGTCTTACCAATTAAATAATTTTTTTTTTTTTTTTTACTTGTCTGGGAATCATTGACCTAGAACTCTAATCTTTGTTTTGTACTTTTACGTCAGCACTGAGACCCTGTGTTTTCCTAGTCTCATTGAGGTGTAAATTTGAAAGAGGACAGGTATAAGCACTGATCTCTTTAATTTGGAAAAGATTCTCTTTTATTTTCAGTATTTGGTGATCGATGACTTGTTTCACCAAATTCATAGCCACATCAGACGTGAAGGTGGTAGGAAGAGAAGAGAGAAACGAGAAGATAAAGATGTGACCAGTCTTTGGGCCTCGATATGCTATTCAGAATGGGATCAACTATAGATCTGAAATACAGCACTATACATGCAGTGTAAGAAGACTTTTTGTTTTAATTAGAGGAGGTTTATTTTTATAACTTAGATTGAAGAATGCAACCCGTGTCATAAGAAAGACACAGATAAAATCCTGTTTGAATTTAGGTGAAGGAGAGGTTTGCATTTGTAAATGTAGGCCTAGAATATTCACCTGTGCAAAGTATTTAGTGAGTGCTATGTACCAGGCACTGTGCCAGGTCAGAGTATAAAGTAACTGAAATTTAGTCTCTTTCTGAGAGATTTATAGCTTATTGGGGAGGGGGGAATATGACATTCCATAAAGTTTGAAAATGTTGAAAGATCAGGGGCCAAAATATATGATTTAAAAAAAACAGTGTGAACAATAGTAGAACATAGGAAAGTTTTAGCTGAGAGTTTGGCAAATCAGAAACAAGGCTAAAGGAAAGTTTGATGGAGAAAAAGAATAAAATAAATGTTATGTAAATAGTTGGAGATAAGATTACTTATTTAAATATTTAAAAATGTGTATATGTGTCTGCGTGATGGTGAGGTTGAAAACCAGACTGAGAAGTTGAAATTTGATCTGTTGGATATTGAGGAGTCATTCAAATTCAGAAGTACCACAGTGAAAGTGGTATTCTATGACTGTTTGTTTCTGGTGGTAGTGGTGTGTAGTTTGGAATATAGTGGTGAAAGACTCCAAGACAGTGATACCAGTTAGGATTCTTCTGGGGAAAAATAATCAATAGTATTTTTCCATTTTCTTGTATGACTATATATTTTCCAGATCAAATCAAAACCAGTCCTAGGGCTGGCGTGGTGGCCGAGTGGTTAAGTTCGTGCGCTCTGCTTCGGTGGCCTGGGGTTTCGCCAGTTCGAATCCTGGGCGCGGACATAGCACTGCTCATCAGACTATGCTGAGGCGGTGTCCCACATGCCACAGCTGGAAGGACCCACGACTGAAAATACACAACGATGTACTGGGGGTCTTTGGGAGAAAAAGGAAAAATAAAATCTTTAAAAACAAAACAACCCCCAAAAAAGCAAGCAAAAAAAACCAGTCCTATGTGAATTTGGGTTATTATTAAA